TTTTTTTTTTGAAATTTTCAAATTTTGACCCGGCCGGGTTATGAAAACCATTTAATTAATTTTGCATGGCCTAAGGTATTAATCCCGAATAGGAAAGTATCTAGCTTTCAAGCTTAGAATTACCTTAGTGAAATACAGTATGTATTTGTTAATACCTCATCTTTAACATATTTGTAGCCACATACGTATTACTACATAAAATTCTTACATATAGAAGTTAATATATAAAAATTATATAAAATATATATAGTGTTTATAAGTATATAAAAATTATATAATTATAAATAAAATTTGATATAAATATTCATCAGCAAAATATATAAACATAATCTAACGTAAGTTATTACGGTCTGAAACCTTGCGAAAGAATTACGAATCAACATGTCATCTTTCGCAATTTTCGATTACGGAATATTACGAAATACAGACGAAATATATTACGAAATATTACACAAAATATTTCGAAATAATTCGCAACTATGCGCATCTATGCAAAATATTTCAAAAAATAATTTAATAAAATTTAAAATACTAAATTTTAAATATTTAAAATATTCAAAACCATTCACAATATTTTAAAATAATTCGAAACCTTTCCAAAATATTCAAAAATTTAAAAACATTTAATACCAATAGCTTATTTAATATAATTTATTATAATTTAATAATCAATAATCAATATTCAAAAGTAACAACTTGCACAATGTTTCGAAATATATAAAACTTTTCACCATACCAGAAAACAACAAATAACAGTGATATAGTGCCAGAAAGTGTAAAACAAAACAAAACCTAAACATAAAATGGCAAGACTCATATGTGGCTCCTGCAACCAATACACAATACTATAAAGCTAATTCACCAAACGAAGACAGTAGAAAAGCTAGAAAGAAAAACGAATACGACGACTGCAAGTTAGTACGTAACACTGTAATAAAAAAAACGAAAAGCGATAAAAAAAAAACTTATATTTGTGATTCAAAGCAACTTGCGCAAAGTTTCGAATACATTTTCACCAGATGAACGACACTTTCCAGAGATATAGCAACAGAAAGTGTAAAGCAGAACCTATATATATAATGGCAAGACTCATTCGTAATACCTACAACTATTACGCGATTTTACCAAACAATGACAGTAGAAAATCTAGAAAGAAAAAACTAATACAACGACTGTAAGTTAGTACGTAGCACTGTAATAAAAAAAACGAAAAGCAATAAAAAAAAACATATATTTGTGATTCAAAGCAACTTGCGCAATGTTTCGAATACATTTCACCAGACGAACGACGTGTACCAGAGATATAGCACCAGAAAGTGTAATGTGGAACCTGAACGTATAATGGCAAGACTCATACATGGCACCTAAGCTGAAAAAAAAAAAAATACAACGACTATAAGTTAGTACATAGCAACTATATAGCACTGTAATAAAAAAAAAAAAGCTTATGGTAGTTTGGTAGTTTCGAATTTACTTGATTCGTCTATTTATAGCCTTAAAGATTAGTCACGTGTGACAGGTTATATCGATAATCAGTTTTTTTTTTCAGTTAAATTATCTTTTTTCTTGTGTTATTGTTTGTGTCGCCATCGTCGTTGAAGTCGTTGCTTAGATGTCTGTCGTCGCTTCGGTGTCGTTGCTTCAGTGTTGTCGCTTGGTGTTGTTATTGTGGATCTGTCATTTCGGTGATTTTGTCTCTTGCTTTACAACTTACTACTGTTATGCTGCTTGCATTACTGTTTGCTTAGCGTGCCGTTAATTGCTTTGTATCGCTTTATCACTTGCTTTATTCGGTGTCATCGTCTTGGTGTTAATGTGAATTCGCTTTTACTGTTGCCTGGTGTAATTTCGTTGACGTGTCGTCGCTTGAATTCATTGTATGTTTTGCTGCGTTAGCCATTTCGCCTTTGTTTGTGTGGTCACAATGCGCATTCATTAGGTGGCTTAAGAAGAGTTAGGGTTGGTTATAGTTAGAGTTCGGGTTAAGGTGGGTTATTTAACTAGTGGTTAGGGTTAGGGTAA